CCCTAGAGTGACAAACGAGTAAAGTAAAACGGACGAGATGATAGCGGTCACCTCCACGAGAACGACGACTTCCCAATAACCAGAACGCGAGAGGTAGTCGTATATTCGCTCGGCTTGGCTGCGGTCCTCGACCGGCCCTGCACCTATGTTGTAAGAAATGCCCCAGCCAGGATTCGAACCCGCGACCTCGACTTACCTCCCGCATCTGTCTCGACTTCAGGCGGCAATCTGTGTGAGTGTTCCGGAGGCACCCCATTGATCTCATCATTCACTTGATTATAGACAATGTGCGCTCTAAAACTCCACCGTATAAAGCCGATACAACGATGAGGTGTACAAAACTGACCTGAGGTCAACTCTAGTGTGGAAAGTCTCCCCACAAGTCGGGCAGCTATAGTCGTCTCGATTGCCTTGCAAACCATCACATTCTCGAAGTGGTGGGAAGGGGAACGTGTCGTGACGTTGGCCTGAGACATTCCCATCTCAGTGACGACGGCACTGCCTAGCAGTCTACTTGAGGGCATCAATGGTGAGTAACGGTCGATAGAATGAATGACCAAAGTGGGCATCGCTAACAGTAATGGTGCGCCCAGCTCATCATTCGGTCTGTTCAGACGCATGTACCTATCATAGCAGTCATACTCCCAACGGCAATGATACACTTATTACTCTCCGACAAAGCGATAGCGGCCTCTGTGGGAAAAGAAGTAGCATCGAACGTGGGCTTCTATGAGCTGATGCTTCCTCATTTCCACTATTTGAAACATGAAGTACGGCTTGCCGTCCGAACCAGCTCGAATCACTGCTTTATCCGAGAACAGTATCGTCTCAGCTCGCTTGCCGCCTCGTGAGAGTCGTGTATATCTGAAGAACATCATCATTGTCAATTCTCGCTGTACTCACATGGCACACCACTTACAGCAGTCCAATGATAGAGGCATTCAGAAGGACCGTCACACAGCACTGCATGGATAGGACCACAGCTCCACTGGTGCAATCAGAGAAGTACCTAGATATTGATAGCCGAGCACGAGCAGGCGGTCAACAACGTACTGGTCAGGGGCTCCAAACCCGACAGTGGCCTGCGTCTCCATCGAGAGGTAGAAGGCTCTAAGGTAGCTGCCTTTGAACTGGGCACCACATGGCTCGTCCACCAATAACCACAGCCCTGCGAATACCGCTACGACCGTTATGTAACTGAAATCGGGTAAGCCTATGAACTAAGATGGTGCCCAACATAAAAACCACGGCAAACCATCGCATGCCATTTGGCGGTTGTAACTGCGGCATGAGTGTTGTAGATCAGGATTTTTATCTATTCCTGTTACACTATCGCCTATTGCAAGAGGATAGCCTATAAAATCACATTAAGAAGAGTCGCCTCATACTAACAATAATATCTCCTGAAGGAGCATCCGATCGACTCTGTGTTCTCATATTGGAGCTCATAATTAGTTCACAATATTAAATTATCTAAGAGAGCCTTCTCGAATATTTTGAAATGCCCATTATTACAAGACTAGAATGCCGGCGATAAGCACATTAGTGTTGGTGTCCAACAC